CAGTGCATCTTAAATTAATATCTGTGTTCTAAAGTTCTTGGCTTACTGTGGACCCTAGTGATTTTGAAAAAAAGCAAAAGAAAAAAAGAATGAGAGTGAGAAAGAAAATAAGATTCACCATCTTCCATATCAGCCAAAGGCATATTTTTTGGACCCTTATATTTAATGATGCACCAAAAATCTATACTGTAATAGAAATAAATATATTAGATTAAAGAAGTTATAAAATCCTGTCCAATTTCAAACCAGAATCGATTTCATCAAGCATCCTAGTTATCTTCTAATTAGTGCCAAGTGAAGGTTGTCATGACAATGAACTAGATTAGTCAATGAAAAAAAATTTTTTTTTTTTTTTCCCGTGTCCGGCAACGGATCACAACCCTCAGTGTTGCCCCCGTACCGGACCGGGGACCGGCAACGGGATCGCAACCCTCGCCGTTGCTCCCGCGCCTCGCTCAGCCAGTGAGCGGGAACCAGTCTGTATGTGGGATCCGAACCCTCGGGCAGAAGTGCCGCCGCGCTTCCCAAGCGGCGCACTATCCAGTGCGCCACTGGGCCGGCCCCAAAAATTATTTGATATAACCCAGAATGTGTCTTTTTAAAATAAAAGTGCTGGTTAGTATTGTGGAGAAAAGAAAAATTGTATGTTACTTCCATTTCCAACTTTCGAATGCTGTGAGCTAATTTGCTTGCCGATTCATCTAAACAGATATTAGTGTTTCTTCCTGGTGACATTCTTTCACATATAAAATGAATAGAACTGGAACATTTCTAAAATGCCCCACTTTAAAGCTGAAGAAACACTTTCTAAGTTGGAGAATAAAACAAATTCAAAAATACAGAGAACATCAAGATTGGAAGGAGTTTGTTCTGCTCGAGGGTTGACCCACTCACACATACCATCCCAGTCAGGACATGAACGAAAACCACAAACCTTCATTAAGGCAAGACAGGTTCCCCTGGATTCCTCTGTCCACTTACATTCAAACACCACTACCACCCTCATCCCCATTTATTCCTGATTTGTTTATATGCACAGTCAACCTCCTGACTCAGGGGCTGGGCTCCTGATGAATATGATACTTACATCTGCCCACCAGGAATGTTCTGGTGACTTTCATTTCACCTAAAGAGCCCATACCTCCATCTGAGAGCAGTATTTGAATAAAAATATCAATTACTTTAGAGATGAGAGGAAAATTACCACCAGGAAAGTGTAAGGAACTGACCCTAGGTGGTAAAGCTGAGTGGCAGAGAACAATCTAGAATGCTTACTCTTATGGACGCTTGTTCTACTGCCTCAGACAATCTAAACTGAAAAGAAAGATGGGTTGAGGAGAAAATAATAATTTTCCATATATGAACTACATAATAGTGAATTTAGGGACAATTTCAGCAAAGAATATTTTAGAAGATGGCTCAAAGACAGCAATCTTATAAGTTTTGTCTGTGACTGAAAAAACTGTGATTATAAGTGCTCTACAAAAGAATAGTGAAAATGAAAAGAGAATTGAATTCTTCTCGAAAGTGAATATAAAGGGGCAACCATGCACTTTATAAGTATATATGTATATGTATAAATACATATGTATACATGAAATCTTCTGAGCTTGAGATAGTTTGAGCTATCTAATCTACTGGGGGATTTATTATAAGCACTCAGTGTATATCATTAAGCATCATAATTCATGTTGTAACATGTGAAGACACCAAAAAGAATGTGTGACCAAAACTCTAAGACATCCACTCTACGATAAATCCAGGCACAGAGCACAGAAGATGTAGATGCTGGAAAGCGGCATTTTGCAAAGGCCAACTAATCTTGCCTGATAGATCCTTTTGCAGCTGGGCTTGTGGCTTTCATAATAATGAAAAATGTATTAACTCATTCTACTGGTAGAATCAGACTGAAACTGCCAACAAGTGTACTCTGAAAATCAGGAGACTTGCCAATTTTTACATGGTCACATAATCAAAGTGTATAGATGAGGTAAATGAGAAAATATTTTGTTACTGGCAACCAATTCAATATTAACCTAACAAAAAATGATTTAATAAGAAAAGATATACAGGACAAAAATAAAGAGAAGATCCTAAAAGCTTTCAGAGAAGAAAAGCAGGGATGGGACCCAAGTTGCTTGGAATTCAACCAGAAAAGGAGCCAAGGGAGGGCCCAGAATTAGAGACATGCAGCAGGCATTGAGAGCAACCAGTCTCTAGCTAGAGCAGGAGGATGGAAGATTCCAAGAGAAAAATGGAATTGAGACATTATCTGATAAGTATGAACACTTGAGTAAAAACCTATGGATGAACATATAAAAGATCTGATGTAATGATTGAGAAAAAAGTTAAGAATAAAAGATAAGTCAAGAAAAAACAAACATATAAGAAAGGATAACCACAGTACACTACTTGACGAAGCTGTGAACACGGTTTACAGGGTCATGATAACGTAAACACTGAATATTCATTTGACTAAGTTTTGTGATACGACAATATTTAGAAGAGAAGGGGAAAGAGAAATTGGGGAGGAGTGTAAGTGAGCTCTATACTTATTTATAGTAAGAGAAAATCAACAGCTATTAACTGAAATTGATACCTCACGAAAAGACAATTAATGATTCATGGCTGTCATCAGCACTATTTATCAATATTTCTGGCTTTCCTTCTTCCAAGCTGGTAGTGGAATTGTGGGTACAGGATATGACTTATTTGGCCAGTGAAATGTTAGTGGACGTGATATGATGGGAACTTTAAGAGCCAGCGTGTGATCTGCCCCACTTCTTCCCTCCTGGCTCATATTTATCAATATTTCTGGCTTTCCTTCTTCCAAGCTGGTAGTGGAATTGTGGGTACAGGATATGACTTATTTGGCCAGTGAAATGTTAGTGGACTTGATATGATGGGAACTTTAAGAGCCAGCGTGTGATCTGCCCCACTTCTTCCCTCCTGGCTCAGTGACTTGTGATGTTCCACGTGATGGAAATGCCACCAGTCTGGATGCTGGAAGGAGACAGGGAGCTGGCCCCCTGTTGACCCACTTGGATTTGGAGATTGCTTATTACCTTGCCTTTCATGAATAATGCTGCAGATTATTCATAGATGTGGAAGCAAATAACAAAAGAAACAGCTAAAAGAGTTGAAAGTGGCTGCCTCTCCAGAGCAGGACTGTCAAGTGAGGAGAGGTTGGGCAGGAGATCACCCCTTTTCATTTTAAGCCATTTAGATCTATTTTTTAAATGGCCTCAATAATTACGGAATATATATCTCAAGAAATCATATTAATGCACAAATGGAGTATCAAAGAACAGGTGATGAGGGGAGAACACGTGTTCCCTACTCCTTTCATTTCCAAGGAGGGTAAGGAATTTCCACTCCTCTCCCAAAGAATAAGGGACACTTCCAGTTTCTTTTGTACCCATCACTGATTTACCTCCAGGCGAGTGGAGTGACTTCTCAGACTGGTGAGTCTGGGAAAAGCAACAGAGCACGCCAGGCTTGGCCCCTTCTGGGCAATCTTTGTCTGTATGTTTTGGAGGCACCCTATCTGCAGTAAGCTGGGGGGGGGGGCAAGAGGGGAACAGGAAAACCCTGTGGTTACACGAGGGTGCCAGATGGCTGTGTGACTAAGTGGTCAAGCCCGGCTAATTCAGGGATAAAATATTAATAAGCTCATTTGTCCCCAGATCGAAAGTTATGTTCACTAATCAGCTTTATCAGCAATGATGCTGACATTTCCATCTCCATGTGTCTGTCACCTGTGCCTCAATGGATTCAAAACACAAACTTCAGTCATCACAAAAACAACTCAGTTGTCTGACCAGATAAATAGCATACTAGAAGGATAATAGCCCCCCCCCCTTTGGGGGGATTAGAAAAAAAATACATATGCATTGAAAAAGTCTGAAAAAATGTATGCTTATCTGTATTTTCTAGTTTTTCTTCACACACTACTTGGGTAAAAAAATGCTTAAATAATAGACTTAGAGTGAAAAAGTAAAAGTAATATTACAAAGTTACAAAGTGCTAATTCTTGGGATTCACAGTTATATTTGAATGATTTCTGTGGATTGGCTTTGTTTTCATTCACTGTCAGATTCTTATAATCGGTATGCTTAGAAGAGCTTTGAAGGGAACCCTACTTATGTATTAAAAAGTTGGGCCATATCTGGTACTCTAAGTAGGGAACATAGAGGGCAGAAGAACCACAAAGTACAAGGTTAGTTACATAGTTTTGCTCTGACAAAATAAAAAATAAGTTAAATACTTATGTGTAATGACGTCTGTCCTGCAATAGCAATGCCATTTTCCACTATTTAATAACTTACTTCCATTTCTTTATCAATCGAATTCTCTGCCATTTCTTCTATTTCAGATGTGTTTTCAGTTAAAGTAATTTCAGGAATTGATGGCAACGATATTTCAGCTATTTGTGCAAGATTAGATAGTTTCTCATGAATTGAGATAACCCTAAAAATAACAAATATATAGGTATTTTATTTGAAAAGTTAAGAAAGTCATTCACTTATTTGCAGAATCAATAAGATGTATAAAGTTAGCCCTCAGTCATTTAACA